GGGATTCGAACCCGCCACCTTAGGTGTACGTGGCTGGCGCCTTAGCCAGCTGAGCTATAGGTGCCAAGCCTTGGCCTCATCTTCTATGAGAAGTGATAAGAGCCTCCCCAGAGGAAGCCTGGAGAAAGAATGTCCCAAACTCACCCCTGCCCCGCTGGGTTTATTTCTAAGCTGCACCACGGTAGCATGAAGTGTCCACTGGGATCCAACCAAATTGAGTTTGCCAGTGTTTAACCTTCTTCACCTTGGACCTTCAGATTCCTTCTCTGCAAAAGGTGTCAACAGCAGGAGGATTTAAGGAGACAGTGCTTGTGAAACACTTTGCATGGTAATGACCCCTATAATAATGTAGAGTGCACCCTCACTCAGCTGTTGGGCCCCACCCTCCTTTCTACTAAATACCTAATCCTAATCCTTCCTCTACCTCTCTGCGTTGTTTGAGGGGAGGAGAGTGTCAGGTGAGGGGAAGGAAATCCAAGGGTATGAGCCCAACCCCTTCCTGCTTTAGAATTGATGGGTCAGGACACCACTGAGGTCTGTGTGACCAAGTCTACACTAGCTCACTGGTGGTGAACCTCTTCCTCATACTGACCTTAAAAGCACATTTGTTGTATTAACAGGTGGATGTTTTCTTTATTATTATTATTATTATTATTATTTGCTGTTTTTGGCCGGGGCTGGGTTTGAGCCCGCCACTTCCAGCATATGGGGCCACTGCCCTACTCTTTTGAGCCCAGACGCTGCCCAGGTGGATGTTCTCTTTTTCTTCCTGGGGAGAACATTCTTGTCTTGATGGGGCATCAGTGACCCCTAAAATGATTAGGCACCCCTCTCCTAAGATGAACCAGATCTAAGATAACCTGAGCACTATGTCCCAGGGAGCCCTGAGGGGTGGAGGTGGGGGATCAGCAGGAAAAAGCAATCTCTTTCCTGCCCCTTCATGCATACTGCCCATCTGTTTGCAGATGACTTTGTGCCCCTGTCCGGGTCCCTCACTGACTGAACATCTTCATTTCTAACTTTTGGACTTGGGCGATAATGAGGCAGGTCTCAGCTCAAAATAATCCTTGGGAAGTGGGGAGGGAGAATGAGGCAGGTGATAACCAATGGTTCTTGAACTTCAGTTGTTCAGGGCAGAGTGCTTTGCTTGTGTTTTTCGGGTTAATTGTAACACCCTGTGAGGTAGACACTTTTACCATCTCCATTTTACAAGAAGAGAAACTGAGGCCCAGAGAGGGAAAGCAACCCGAACAATGTCAAGTAGCAAGTAGCAGAATTTGTGCCATTATGGGAAGGTTCTGGGGCCCCTGTTCCTAACTGTTAAGCAGGAGTGTCTTCCTTTAAAAGGCCATTTACAGATACTTGGGGTAAAATATTTTAAACTTACCATCTCCAGGCCTCCTGGTACAGGTGGCCAGGAGTTGTTATAGTGTCCCACCTAACTTCCAGATGGTCAGGTATGGTGGCATTGAGGTCTTTGGTAATGTCAGACCCTCCTCACACCTTTGGGAAGAGTTGTTGGGGGCCGGTTATTGCCCCCTGCAGGTGCTAACAAGGAGAAAAGTGAAAATTAAGTGAAAAAGAGCTGCTGGTGATGGGCTGGGAGAAGCTGCCAGGAGGCTAAAGCTGGGAATTGCCACTTTATAATATACCCGTGATTTCCTAGAGCAGTGGTTCTCAACCTTCCTAATGCCGCGATCCTTTAATACAGTTCCTATGGTCGTGACCCACAGGTTGAGAACTGCTGTCCTAGAGAGATTCTCTTAGTCTCTGATTAAAGATGCTCTGTGAGACAATAAAAAAATAAACTCTTATATGGTCTGCCCATACAGGACCTAAATCGGAGATCATCCCAGCCCCCTAGGATCTATTCACAAAACCTCTTTGTTTCTCTGGGTCCTCATGATAATCCAGAGAGGGTAGAGTGTTGTTATTCCCATTTGAAAGAAGAGGAAACTGGGCTTGAAGAAAGTGGACAATCACTTTTTTTTTTTTAGACGGAGCCTCAAGCTATCCCCCTGGGTAGAGTGCCATGGCATCCCGCTCACAGCAACCTCCAACTCCTGGGCTCAAGCGAGTCTCCTGCCTCAGCCTCCCAAGTAGCTGGGACCACAGGTGCCCACCACAACGCCCGGCTATTTTTTGGTTGCAGCCGTCATTGTTGTTTGGCGGGTCCGGGCTGGGGATTCGAACCCGCCCCCTCAGGTGTATGTGGCTGGCACCTTAGCCGGTTGAGCCACAGGCGCCGAGCCGACAATCACTTTTAAGTGACTTGAAAATCCACAAATATGTGCTGTTCCCAGACATTAGGTTAAAGTTAGTCCAGGACCAAAATAAAAGGACCGTGCTCCCCTATCCTTATCTGGTTTGGGTTTGGTTTTGGGTGGGTCAAACAGGGCTGTGTGTGTGCCCCAGGTATGTGAATGGCTTGGGGCAGGAGGGACCAAGTGCCTTGTCGGGTAGGTGGATAGAAAAGACATGCCAGATCATGCCTAAAACACCTTTAGAAACCTATTTGTAAGCTCACCAAAACTCTTGAGGTTTCTGTCTCCCCCTCTTTTAGGAACTGGGCCAGGGAGAGGGTGATCAGTCTTTGGACATCTGGAAGCTCTGAATTTTTCACTGTTTTTTTTTTTTTTTTCTTTTAAACAGACTCTCAATCTATTGTCCCAGGCTGGAGTACAGGGGTGTCAGCCTAGCTCACAGCAACCTCAAACTCCTGGGCTGAAAGCAGTCCTCCTGCCTCAGCCTCCTAGGTAGCTAGGACTATAGGTGCCCACCACAACACTTAGCTAATTTTTTCTACATTTAGTAGAGATGGGTCCAGCTCTTGCTGAGGCTGGTCTGGAACTCCTTGAGCTCAAGGCATCTTCCCACCTCAGATTCCCAGAGTGCTAGGATTACAGGTGTGAGCCACCATGCCTGGCCAGCTCTGAGGTTTTCCATTATTTTCATATCTTCTTCACTGTGCCTGTGAAACAGGCCACCATTCCCAATGAGAAAACAGAGCCTTAGATTGTCTGTGGGGGTGGGGGAGAGGCAGATGGAACTCATCCAATTTTTACCACTCATTCTGTATTTATGGAGGGTGTCTTGATGGGGGACGCAGAGCAGTGACACAGAGTTTAGGCTTTGTAGTCAGGCAAATCCCGGTTTACTCTTGGCTCTGCCACTCTCCAAGAAGTTCAGACCTCTCAGAACTTCAATTTTCCACATCTCTAAAATGAACACAAAAATATTACTAATTTGAAGGGTTGGGGTGAGGATTAAGAGATGATTCAGGCTCGGCGCCTATAGCTCAACCGACTAAGGAGCCAGCCACGTACACCTAAGGTGGCGGGTTCGAATCCCCAGCCC